TTTTTTATGTGGTACTGAGGATCAAACCCAGTGCCTCACATGTGCTAAACGAATGCTGAGCTACAGTCTCAGCTCTGTGTTAACTTCTTTCTATCCATAATTTCTCTAGGGTTTTAAACATGAATAGGTGCTGAATTTTGTGAAAAGCTTTTTCTGCATCTGTTGAGATGATCATGTGACTTTTGTTGTTGATTCTGTTTGTGTGATGAACTATGTTTATTGATTTATGTATATAGAACCAATCTTGCATCCCTGGAATGAATCCAACTTGATCATGGTATACAGTCTTAATGTGTTGTTGAGTGTTGGCTGCTGGTATTTTGTTAAGGGTTTTTGCATCTATGTTCATCAAGCATATTGCTTTATAGTTTTCTTTCTTTGCTGTGTCTTTGTCTGGGCTAGTATCAGGATGATAATGACTTCATAGAATTAGTTTATGAGTGTTCCCTCCCTTTCTAGTTCATGGAATAATTTGAGGAGAATTGGTGTTGGCTCTTCTTTAAAGTTCTGGTAGAACTCAGCTGAAAATCCATCTGGTCCTAGGCTTTTTTTTTTTTTTTTGTTAGAAGACTTTATTACTGCTTCAGTATTGTTGTTTGCTATTGGTATATTTAGGTTTCCTATATCCTGTTGGTTCAGTTTGGGTCGATCATATGTAAGTTTGGGTTGGTCATATAAATAAATAAATATATATAAAATTTTCAATATCTTCTATATTTTCCAATTTATTAGAATATTAATTTTACTCTGGATTTCAGAAATGTCTATGGTATCTCCTTTTTCGTCTCCAGTTTGTTGATTTGGGTCTTCTCTCATTCATATGATTAGTTAGCTAAGCTCTTATCAATCTTGGTTATTTTTGAAGAGCCACCTTGGTTGAATTGATCCTTTCATTTTTTATTCTGTATTTCATTAATTTCAGCTTTGATCTTAATTATTTTCTAATTTTAATGTGGGTGCTTAATGCTATAAATTTCCACTTAGTACTGTCTTCATAGTATCATTGTTTTTGTTTGATTCTAGGACTTTAAAAAATTCTCTTTTCTCATTTTTTCTATCGTCTATTCCTTGTATGTTTATGTGCTTTCTTTATGTTTTCTTGTTGTTGATTTTTCTTTCTTTATTTAACTTTTTAATTTTTTTTTTTTTGTACCAGGGATTGAACCCAGTGGCACTTAAACACTGAGCCACATTTCCAGTGTGTTTTACTTTTTCTTTTGAGACAGAGTCTCGCTAAGTTGCTTAAGAATTTGCTAAATTGCTGAGGCTGGCTTTGAACTTGTCATCCTCCTTCCTCAGCCTCCTAAGATTGGGATAACAGGTGTGCACAACTCTGCCGGCCTTGCTGTTGGTTTCTAATCCTAACTGATTATCATCTGATAAAATGCATGGGATAATGTGGTTGTAAGATTTGTTTTGTGTCCTACAATATGGCCTATTTTGGAAAAGGTTCCTTGAGCTGCTAAGAAGAAAGGGTTTTCAGTGGTTGTCTAATAGGTCCATTTGATTCATAGTATCATTTTGGTCAGAAGTGACCTGTTTTATTATTTGGTTGACCCTTCTCTTGAGAAGGATATGTTGAAATCACCAGGTATTATTGGGGTCTGTGTAGGACTTAAAGTCAGGAAATATTTGTTTTATGTAATTAGATACATGGACATTTGAGGCATAAATATTTACTATCATTTTATCTTCTTGTTGGATTATTTAACAGTATGTAGTGGCACTGCAACCAGCATGGCTCTGGTGAGGGGGGATGGGGGATTAGAAAATAAAGACTCACACACACAGATTGTGTAGCTGGGATCAGGTAGAATGCTGCTCTCTGATGGAGAAGCAGATATTAAGAGTAATACCAGCAATCTTTATTTATATATGTCTCATTATCAGGTTAAAGACTTTGCAAGCATTATTCTTTCACTTTCTGCAGAAAACAATTAACAAAATACTACACAAAAAAGAACTCAAACCCCAAAGCTCTCAAATGGATGAAGCGCTCCAGAACAGCAATTCTGGAGAAAAGTTACAGAGCTTGAAACATCTGCAATTGTTATCCACAGTTGGCTGTGTGCAGAGTAAGGAGCTTTGTGTAACACTCAAGAAGGTCCATTGTTTAAAGTTACTGTTAAGTAGGCAGGTTTAGGAGTAGCAGAGCTGGGGAAACATTGTGATTGTCTAGCATGAGAATTCCTGTATCCTTGGAAGCTGTGTGCCTGAGATCAAGTTTGACGCTGAGAAGATTTTTCTGCAGAGCCTCTTCATGCAGGGCATTACCATAGCAGCTAGGCATTCTATGTCCTTGCACAGAAACATTCCCAGCCACCAGCCACTCCACAGCCATGAAGTCATCGGAGACACCCAATCTTAGTCACTGTTCTCCCATTCTCTGTCAACATACTCTACATAGTGGCCTTCCTCCTTATCGCTTCAGATTTAATTTTTGCTTAAAATCTGCATTGTCAGATATAAATACAGCTACTGCTGTTTATGTTTGGACTCCATTTGCATGGAATGTCTTTTTTCCTTTCACTTAGAGTCTGTGGCTATCTTTGCCTAAAAGAGTCTCTTGCAAACAGCACATGGTTAATTATTATTATTATTTTTTTAATCCATCCTGCCAGTCTGGGTCTTTTAATTGGAAGTTGAGACCATTTACATTCAGAGTTATTATGGGGAGATGTGTATTATTTCCAGTCCTTTTGGTTTGCTCATACATTTAATTTATTTTTAATTTTCATTTGCCTATTGCTGTTCTAGAGAGCTTCATCCATTTGAGAGCTCTGAGGTTTGAGTTCTTTTGTGTCTAGTATTTTGTTAATTGTTTTCTGCAGGGCAGGCTTAGTGTCATGAATTCTTTTAGTTTATTCTTATCTTGGAGCATTTTTATTTCTATTTGATTTTATTTGATTTTGAATGATGACTTTGCTGGATGTAGCAACCTTAACTAGCCAATTATTTTCTTTCATAGCTTGGAATATCTTACTCTAAGCCTTCCTTTTCTATATTCATCATTGAGAAGTCTGAAGTGAGCGTTATTGGTTTACCTCTAAATATAATCTGATGCAGCTTTTGATATTCTGTACTTATTCTCAATGTTAAGCATTTGGGTATGCTGTGTCTTAGGTTGTTTTTTGATTTTGTCTGTTTGAGGTCCTATATGGTTTTTATATGTGAATGTCCATCTTGTTCCTAAGATTTGGAGAAATTTTTGCTGTTATTTCACTGAAAAGTTCCTTAATGCCATTAGCCTGTATTTCTATGTCCTCCTCTCTCCCAGTGATTTTTCATTAAAAAAAAAAAAAGGTGAGCACAATACCCTTGTTTGTTTGTTTGTTTGTTTATTTATATGTGATGCTGAGAATCTAGGCAAGTGCTCCACCACTGAGCTACAACCCCAGGTCCTTCCAGTGATTCTTAAGTTTGGTTTCCTAATGCTGTTCTGGAATTCTTGTGTATTCTGATTGTGGCTTTTTGTTTTGTTTTTGTTTTTTCCCTTTACTGTCAATAGAGTCTTCTGTCTCTGAGGCCTGAGATTGTTTTCTTTTGGGGTGGGGGTTGTGCTGGGGATTGAACGTGGGCACTCAACCATTGAGCCACATCCCCAGCTCTTTTTTGCTTTGCTTTTTTTTTTAAATTTAGAGACAGGGTCTCACTGAGTTGCTTAGCACCTTGCTTTTGCTGAGGCCTCTTTAAACTTGAAATCCTCCTGCTTTAGTCTCCCAAGCCACTGGGATCACAGGCGTGCACCATTGCACCGGGCTTGAGGTCTTTTTCTATGTAATCTAATTTGTTGTCAACAATTTCTTTCGTTTTTTTTTTTTTTTTTTTTTGTACCGGGGATCTGACCCAGGGGTGCTTTATCACTGAGCTACATCCACACATTCACAGTCTTCTTTTATTTTCTATTTTGAGACAGTGTCTTGCTAAATTGCTTAGGGCCTCATTAAGTTGCTGAGGTTGGCCTTGAATTTGCAATCCTCCTGTCACAGATCCCTGAGTTACTAGGATTACAGGCATGTGCCACCAAGTCCAGATTGTTGATACTTTCAAGTGAAGTTTTTGATTTGTTGTGTCTTTAATTTCCAGGAGTTCTGATTGGTTTCTTTTTGGATTCTCTCTCTCTTTATTGAAGTCATCTTTCACCTCCTGTAATTGTTCTCTTAATTCATTTTTTCTATGTTGAAAAAAGGGCATATTTAGAATTAGACAGTTGGACTCTGTTTAGATGATCCAAATTTTGTTGGCAATGTCCAAAGCATCATAATCAGAAGCCAGTCGAACATATGCCTTCTTCTGTTCATCAGGCCTGATCAGAGTGTTAACCCTGGCCACATCAATTTCTATACAGCTTCTTTGATCTGGTATTTGTTGCTCTTGGCATCCTCAGTGAACACAAGTGTGTGGTGGTCTTCAATCTTCTTCATGGCTGACTCAGTACTCAGGGGGAACTTGATGGTGGCATAGTGGTCAAACTTGTTTCTCTTGGGGGTGCTTTCCGAGGATATTTGGGTTGCCAGAAGGTAGGTAACTTGTAGATCATCATCTTTTTATGGCTGTGAACACCCTTCAACACTGCCTTCTTGGCCTTTAAAACTTTTGCTTTGGCTTCAGCTTTGGGGAGGAGCGAGAGCTTCCTTCTTAGCTTTTGGCGCCATCTTGGTGAATTTAATTCATTTTTTAGATTTTGTTTTAATTCATTGTTTTCTTTCTTTTTTTAAAACTGGGAATCAAACCCAGGTGCGCTTAACCACTGAGCTACATCCCCAACCCTTTTTAATATTTTATTTAGAGACAGGGTCTCACTGAGTTGCTTAGGGTCTCCCTAAGTTGCTGAGGCCAGCTTTGAACTCACTCTCTATTCTTCTGCCTCCAGCCTTATAAGCCTCTGGGATTACAGGCATGTACCACTGCATTCAGCTAGCTCATTAATTATTTTAATAATCAATTTTTAAGTCTTTATCTGGAATTTCATCCTCTTCCATGTCTGTGTGTTCCTTTGGTGGGAATTGTAACTTTTGTGGGGGGAGTACACAGAAGTTTGCTTGTTTTCTCATGTTTTCACAGATCTTGGACTTACCCGTAAGTCTGTTGAGGTGGATTCCTCTTCCTCTTTTATGAGGATGTTCTTTGAAACAGAAGAAAAAAGAAGGAGAAAAGTGATAAAAATGATGAGAAAAAAATAAGAACACACATACACACACCTACTTCCATGAGCCAGTCAACACAACTAGCACACACATGTATACATTTCATAGTCCTGCTCAATGGAAAAAGCAGGAAAGACATTCCAATGAAAAATGAAGGGTTTGACTCTGCTGAGATGGTCAAAACTGTCAACACTGTTGACAAGGATGGATGTTCACTGCTCTGCCTTACTTACTGTTCTCCTTTCTGTTTTCTCCTTAGGTTGTATACCTCTTAGGGGGAGAGAGGGTTGGAGGTTGTTAAACCTCCCTTCTGATTGTTCACTAAACTGTCAGATCAAGTGACTTGGAACCAAGCTGGTAGTAATGGCTCTCATCTTGCCAAGGACAAGACAGAATGGGAAGTATGAGCCACAGTCCCCGCCCCAAACATTGTTAGGACCAAATGGGAAGCAGTGACAATTGGAATTCTGTCTGTGCAAACAAGGTAGATGCTCTCCCAGGGCAGGGCTGATGCATTTTACATGTGAGGGTTGCCGACTATTGTATAGTTCTGACTGACCTTTGGAACTTCTTCCTGAGCATCTGCTTTTTCTGTCAGTCTCTGCTGGGCATCTGGATCTGTGAGACCTCCAGAGAACTCCACTCTGGAGGCAAAAGAGCCAACTTTCTGCTCTCCACTGCCTATAAATATGATCTTCCTAGTAAATATGATCTTCCTAGAATCAGACCAAATATATCAACCTATCCAGTTTTTGAGTTCTCAGAGTAATCTCGCAAGCCGCCAAACCCAACAGGAAAGCGAGCCGCACTATGCTCTGTACACCATCCTGAGCTCCCCCAGGTACAGTCCCCTTTGTGTCTGCCCCAGTGGAGCCCTGCCAGGAGTTCTCTAGATTTCACAATGGGTGCATGTAGACACAGTTGGCTAATGCTTGTTGTGAACTCCTAGGCTCCTGCAGCAGAAAGCTGCCTGCTTCAGCTCTCCCAGATGCATTTGCAGTTTTTTCCCCAGCTTTAACAGTTTTAATCTGTTGTTAATTGAATCTGAGAATATGGGACTACTTTATATTTTTAATAGGCATTGTTATTCTCCCCCCCCCCCTTGGTACTGGAGATTGAACCTAGGGATGCTGTACTACTGAGCAACATCCTCAGTCCTTTTTATTTTTTATTTTGAGACAGGGTCTTGCTAAATTGCCCAGGCTACCTCAAACTGGGGATCCTCCCTCCTCAGCATCTTAAGTCATTAGGATTATAGGTGTGCACTATCACACCTGGCAATAGGCATTGTTACTTTATTTATTTTTAAAATATTTTGTTTATTTAGTTGTACACAATACCTTTATTTTATTTTTATGTGGTGCTGAGAATCGAATCCAGGACCTCACGTGTGCTAGGCAAGCGCTCTACTGCTGAGCCACAATCTCAGCCCCAAACATTGTTACTTTAAAGTAGTATCTTAAATATTACCTGTTGGGATATTTAATGTTAGAACATATGATTTTTTTTGGACTAGTTGGTTGTTGATAGAATAGATCTCTGGCTTTTACAAGTTAACACTATGGTTTTCAGTATTCTCTAAGTTACTGTGAAGAGTGTATGGCATTTATAAATATGCTAAGCACAGATTTGATCCTAGTCTACTACCTAGTAGGCAAATCTCTTATGATTTGGTAATTTCTATTTTTTTTTTTTTACTTTTTAAAAAATTTGTTCTAGTTATACATAATAGTAGAATGCATTTTGACACATCATACATAGTTTTTCTTTTCTTTTTTTCTTTCTTTATTTTTTATTTTTTTGGTGGTGCTGGGGATTGAACTCAGGGCCTTGTTCATGCTAGGCAAACACTCTACCAACTAAACTATATCCCCAGCCCAACATATCACACATAGATGGAATATAACTTCTAGTTCTTCTGGTTGTATATGATGTAGTTACACCAGTCTTGTAATTATATATTCACATAGGGTAATAATGTCCAGTTCATTCTAATACTATCATTCTTATCCCCTCCCCTTCCTTCACTTCCCACTGTCTAACCCACAGTATCTCTCTTCTTCCCTAGCTGCCCACATTATGAATTTCTGATATTTTTATAGTAATTTTTGTTGCCAGCACTATGTTCCTACTGGCAACTTCTAATACCCAAAGAAAAGAAAATTGCATTAGATCCAGAAGGAGAAATTTGGGGTAAATTAAAGAGTAAAATATAGGGTTTTGTGATGATTTAATTTTATGATGCAGATGAGTCTTTATAATATATTTGGTAATGTGAATATGAATTACTTCATAATTAAATGTATGTAGGAGTAAAAAGAAAATTAATTATACTTTAATATTTTATACACCATGGTAGTATTCTCAAATTTGGGTACCTTTCCAAATGTCTTGGGACAAATTTCTCATACTATCAAGGATCTCTTATACTTGAAGTCATCACACAGATTTCATTTGTTGAAATTTCTGAGTTCAGTTGGAACAGTAAAACAGTCTCTTTGTCTATGTTTCGGTCCCTTTCTCTGCACATACACCCATACCCTTCTGGATAAAACTTTGAAGATCCATATAATTTAGAAGTCCATTTGTAAGGACTTATCTTTTCATTGGGTAAAGGATAAAGTCCAGGGTTTGTTTGTTTGTTTGTTTGTTTTTACTGTGTCAGATACCACCCTTGACACTTTACCTCCAGACTCAGTTCCTAATGCCTCCCATCTCTTGCATCTTGCGCTCTCCTCTCTTTTTGAACTATTGGCAGTCTTGGAATATGAGAGAATATTTTGCCAATCCTGGATTTTGCTCTTACTGTTATTTCCTTTGTCGTGTTGTTCACTTAACAAACTACTATTAAAAGTGAAGAGAGGAAGAAACTAGATATTTCACCTTTGGCCACTCCTTCATTTTCACAGTATCTAACATTCAAGTAAGGGTTGGTAGGGAAAGCTAGTTTGGTTTTGCAAAATGCACCAAGGGATTAGCAAACTGAAGATGTGTAGTTAAGATGTGTCCCATTAACTGGTTATGCGAGTGAGCTCAGCCAGATCATGACCTCAGTATTGGATCATGGTCTCTCATGTAAAATCAGGAGATTGGATTAATGTGATGGTTTCACAACTTGCTTTTTTTCATTTTTGTTTTTCTTTCCTTTTTCTTCCTTCCCCTTCTTTCATTCTGGCACATTTCAAAGATACTTTCTCATCACTTTTCAGTAAATTCTTGTAGCCATGATTGTCTGCAGGGACTGGGGGTGCATGAATTGGGGAGCATGCCCTGGGAAGAAGAAAGAGCAAGTGTTGCACCTAATAGAAGAACAAGTAGGCCCAGATCTCCATCACGACAGATTAGGCCCCAACTTCCTTATTTAGACTCCTATAGCACAAGAATTAAAATTAAGAATTAAGAAATAAATTAATAAATAAGAAGTTTCTTCTCAGCAAAAGAAACAACCAACAAAGTGAATAGAAAGCCTACATTTGGGGAGCAAATTTTTACCACATGTGCATCAGATAGAGCACTAATCTCTAGGATATATAAAAGAACTCAAAAATCTAAACACCAAATAAATCCCAAATAACCCAATCAATAAATGGGCCAAGGAACTGAACAGACAATTCTCAGAAGATGATATAAAACCAATTAACAAATATATGAAAAAATGTTCAACATCTATAGCAATTAGAGAAATGCAAATCAAAACTACTCTAAGATTTCATCTCACTCCAATCAGAATGGCAGCTATTAAGAATACAAACAATGAGTGTTGGCGAGGATGTGGGGGAAAAGGCACACTCATATATTGCTGGTGGGACTGCAAATTGGTGCAGCCAATATGGAGAGCAGTATGGAGATTTCCTTGGAAAACTTGAAATGGAACTACCATTTGACACAGTTATCCCTCTCCTCCGTCTATACCTAAAGGACATAGCCACATCAATGTTTATAGCAAGCAGCACAATTCACAATAGCTAAACTGTAGAACCAACCTAGATGTCCTTCAGTAGATGAACAGATAAAGAAAATGAAGTATATATACACAATGGAATATTACTCAGCATTAAGAGAGACTAAAATCATGGCATTTGCAGGTAAATGGATGGAATTGGAGAATATTATGCTAAGTGAAGTTAGCCAATCCCAAAAAAACAAATGCCAAATGTTTTCTCTAATCTGAGGAGGCTGATTCATAATGGGGGTAAGGGGAGAGCATGGGAGGAATGGAGGAACTTTGAATAGGGCAAAGGGAAGGGAGGGGACATGCAGGTAGAGAAGATGATAGAATGAGATGGACATCATTATCCTAAGTTACATGTATGAAGACATGAAAGGTGTGACTCTCCTTTGTGTACAACCAGAGATATGAAAAATTGTGCTCTGTATGTGCACTATGAATTGAAATGCATTCTGCTATCATATATAACAAACTAGAATGAATTTTTAAAGATGTTTAAAAAAAAGGGCAAGTGTCAAAATAAGGGAAGACCAAAATGAGGGGACTTCAGGTGCATCCACGTTGAGATATCTAAATAATATTTATTAGTATCATTTTTTATATTAGTCTGAGGCAAAAATATTTGTATGTATATAGCTCAGATCCAAAAAGTTGTTCATGAATTCATTTGGCTCTTTGTCACTAAATAAGTGACCACTAGCGCCATCTGTTGGTAGTAAGTGTTGTACTTTTATTGGATGTGTAGCTCTGAGTTCCAGTGAAATTGTTCAAGTTAATTCAGGAGAATTTATAGTTTTTCCCTGTACTTTTTTTTTTTTAAATTAAGTTGTTGATGGACATTTATTTATTTATTTATTTATTCATATGTGATGCTGAGAAACGAACCCAGTGCCTCACACATGCCAGGCAAGTGTGCTACCGCAGAGCCCCAGCCCCAGCCATCCCCTGTACTTTTATTTTTTTCTAATTTTTAAAAAAAAATTTATTTTTTAGTTGTAGTTGGATGCAATACCTTTATTTCACTTATTTATTTTTATGTGGTGCTGAGGATCAAACCCAGGGTCTCGCACGTGTGAGACCCTGCTAGTGCTCTACCACTGAGCCACAACCCTATCCCCTCCCCTGTACTTTTTAAAAAATATTTTTCTAATTTATAAATGGACACAATGCCTTTATTTATTTTTATGTGGTGCTGAGGATTGAACCCAGTGCCTCACACATGTGAGGCAAGCGATCTACCACTGAGCTACAAGCCCAGCCCTTCCCCTGTACTTTTCATTTTGAAATAGTTTCAAGCTAATAGTGAAGTTATGAGAACAATATATTAGGGTTCTCCACATAAAATAATAAAATGTGTCTATACATATTTTAAATATATGTGTGCTCCTTATATAATTGTAATATACTTAGTAATATGTAATTCTACACATATCAGAAATTCCATTTCTTAATTTTTGTATACACACACACTCACACTGTACATACATATAAATAAGCAAATGAGGAATTGTGATCACAGAGGCTGACGAGATGTG